CAACTTAAAATTTAAGTGGGAAGTTAATATCAAAGTTCTCAAAGTTTTAAATCTTAAGAGGACGTGATATCCTCATGTGTTATCTCCGTCTTACAAGTGCATAACATATTAACATAGCAAATTTTACACTCATCAAAACACTGGTAGCTCCGTTAATTTAAAAATGAGAGTAAATTAACCTCTTATAAAATCTAAAGGTAAGATTATTATCTAGACAACCTCTTGGGATTTTTATAATATTTAAATTGTTAAGCTAGTTATGAGTACTTTAAGATCTATAAACAATTTACAATTTTAAAATACTCATAGCTCGCTTAAAAATTAAAATATAATAAAAAGCCCATAAGGTTGTCTAGATAATAATCTTACATTTAGATTTTATAAGAGGTCAATTCACTCTAATTTTCAAACTAACGGAGCCGTGTACACTTGTTCTGCTTTGTGTAGAATTTGCTATGTTATAAGCACTTGTAAGACGGAGACAACAAATGCGGGTATCACGTCCTCTTACTCGCACATTTAATGGAACTCTTATATTATTTAAATGTTGGATATATTGAATATTATTTAATATTATTAGCAAGATAGGTACTACCTAAAATTATAATTTGTGTTATTTATTAAAACTGCGATGAGTTAAAAAGGATTAAATGCATAGTTTTTGATTTCAAATCATTATTATTAAATGCTGTTTTATAACCTAGCGTATAACCTATAAGATAAAATTGCATAATAATAATCGAACAATTAATCATTATTGTCATGACACGTGTGGATTATGATGTATTTTTTTAAATGATTAGTGTGTGTAGTGTGTTAATCGTTTTATTTTACCATAATATAACACACGATGACGCATCACGCATATAAGTGCATAACACATAGATACATACAATAATTAATAAGTCTAGGGCTGGAATTTTGACGCAAATGCATCTTTTTTTCTGGTGTTTCGAAACGTTGCTTCGTAGATAAGTATAAAATGTGTTTTGAGTGATACTGAATCTTTTAAAGTAATTTTTTTTTTACAATTTTTTGCATTTTCTTAGTTTTTTCATAAAATGAACGAAAATTGTTGCGAATAACAAGAGACTTTCCACAAACTGCTGACGGTACGAATAATAAATTATATAGCAGGACAAGTTATCGTCGATAAAAATGTTATCATAGCTAGGCGTTTCCGCTCAAATTATCGCCGTTTTATATAGGTACCTACCTATTATGTATATTATTATTTTTATTACACCATACATACATACCTACAAGTTATCGTCGATAACAGTTTTATCATAGCTAGGCGCTTACTCCACGATAAGTATTACTGAATTAGAAACCGATTAGAACGTCTATGAAAAAAAAATACACTACTATAGTAGGTAGGTATAATTTTTAATTTTTTTCTCCAATATTCAAGCTATAATGAATACATTTAAATGAATTTTTATAGTGCATTTTTAAAATTTTTAAGTTTATTTTTGCATTTTTTGAAGGGCATTTGTACAGTTTTTTCAGTGCATTAAAATCCCCAGCCCTATAATAATTACCATATACCATTATACATAATATGTTACATGTACCTTATGGCTAGTATAATGTATCTACTCTTGCTAATTATTTTAAATCGTAATCGGATAACCAAGCGATGATATTGCCACTTGGTATAATGTTTACATAAACATAATATTAATATAGTTTTACTTATAAGTTAGGTATAAGTTACAAGTCATAATTATATTAGGGGCTCGTGGCGTGGAGGGTGATGTTTTTATTACAGACAAATCAAAATATTTATTTTATACTTTTATCACATACGATAAACGAGACGTTCATCAAATACTTTTTAAAAACACTATTCAATAGTCATAATTGACAACTTCGGATTACACAATATAGCCATAAAGATAACGGTTTTGCGGCTTTTAATACCAAAAAAATAGTAAAATACATTATTGGCTAACTTATAATAGTTTTTTGCAGATCTGGCCATCAAAAAGTTGTTTTATGTTCAATTGTGATAAAAATAATTGTTTAATGGATGTGTATAAAAAAATACATTATAAATAAGTACAGATACATATTTGAATAAGAACCGGACGTCGATTAATAATTAAAAGTGGCTACTTCAGCTGATATCTATTTACAGTATTGGAGTACAAAATCATAAAAAAGAAAATGCTAAGTTGTCAAGTCTCTTATTCAAATCTTCATATAATCGCTTATATCGGGCTTGGAAGTTACATGAGTAAAAATGTAAAATAAATAAAATTATAATATATTTATAGATGCAAACAATTTATTAAAAATTAAAAAATAAATTCAGTAATACACTTAACATTTAAAAATGTAGAGTTATATATTATAAATTAATTAATACTTATTAGTTACCTCTACCTACTACTTACTTATTATCATAGGCGCAATTTCAACCTTTGACTTGGGGGGGCTGAATATATATTAAAGGCAAGCAGACCATTGCAATAGAGCATATTAAAATTGTATGTCCTAGGTTTTTTTTTTGGGGGGGTGGGGCGCTTAGCACCCCCCCCCCCATTTGCGCCTATGCTTATTATTAGTACCAATTAGGTACCTAGTTAAAAATATTTTATTAAATCTAATGGAAAACTGGCTGGCAATTGTTACCTATTATTGAAATGAAATGAAATAGTAAATAGTATTAATAAAAGTATATATCTATTTAAATATTTTTGAAGTAAATAAATACATGTATTGTTTCTAATGATTCAATAAGAGATTTTTATATCTCAAAAAGCCTCTTTTGACATCAATTGATGTCATTGTATTACGCCATTGAAGCATATTTTAAAAACATTAAGCCGTATTAAAAATCTATATAAATGCATTAAAATTCAATATTAAATATTAAAATGCACTGTATAGACAGACGAAAATTCATCTCAAATATTTTATACATGTTTGTACAATATTATAGTGTATACTGGTATAGACATATTATATTATAAAAAAATAAAATATTTTTTTTATAGAAAAAAAAACCTACACGTGTTAACGAATACACATTTTAACTTCTGAAACAACGTCTATACTTTATAGTCTATAGAACAAAACTCACAACTCATCATGTTTGTACAACAACTGCAGATTATTATTACGATTATACTTACTATTACGATTTATAGGTATTTACACACATTGCATAGAATTAAATTCCTTTGTACTTTTTTGCCACTATTTGTAAATATAGCTATTATTCAGTCGACAGCGACAATGAAAATAAATACCGTCGTTAAATAACTGGATTTAAAAATAAGTAGTTAATTAAAGATAGTATTTAATATGCACGTAAAATGTAAATGTATAAATATGTACATTTTTCTCATATATAGCTATATATGTAGTAACATTTACATTTTTAATTTTCGTTTTTTTAAACTAGTCTTCTAAAAATATAGAATAGATTTTTAGTTTTAGAATTTTAGTGTGCTATAAACCGAGAACATACCTGTAGAAAAATAACTTATCACTTTCCGAGCACTAAATTTCATAATAATAAAGTGTTTTTTCATAGAACCTATAGTGCTATAGACTATAGTGATTAATGAGGCAGTGCGGGGGAAAACTGGGTCGGATAGCAATCACCCTTTTTTAAATTTATGTGTTGTTTCAATGTTCAATCCATACAATGTTGGCGTCTTGGCAGTTGGCGATAATAATTAGGCTACACTAATTGTGTAATCCTAGCTATGTACCTGCCCACTCACCAAATATCAATATTTTTAATAAATACAAGTACTATTAAATTTACTATAGTTATTATTTAGTTTAGGAACTACTTAGGTACCTATACAAATATACATTTAGATTTATTACTTGAATATTGGGAGGCAACTATAAATAGTAATGGACCATTTTTGTTTAGGTACTATAAAATTTAGGATAGGTACCTATGTCGTTTTAGCAATCCGTATAAAAATCATCAACTTTTTTAACTCCGGGAAGCAACAAGTATATTATGCGCCTGATAATGTGCACCTAATAATATGTAATAATTGTACTAATTTATAGTTATTAAACAACAAAATCGTTTCATTGTTTCATTTCCATCACGAAAATACCTACGCAGCTACGCCAACAGACAGCGACAGGGCACAGACACATCGTTACTCGTTATCGCCTTAAGGGGCGTAGGCTATCAGCGCCGCCCGCTATAATTATAATTATAATTAATATTATCTAATTATAATAGCATTTATAACATAAATAATAATTTATTATATGCCATTACTGTATATTGTAATGTTTATCGGTATTACCCTTATCAAAAACAGAACAGCTTTAGTTCAAATATATTTTTATCGGTTTGGCCGTTTGCGTTTATCATTTCGGACTTTTCCCACTCGATTGCATTTCATTAGATTTTCGGTCGTCGGCGAGTCGACAACGACGATAACGCAATAATAATAATAGTAATAATAATAATAATAATATTTTATCATTTTGGGTCTTTGTCGTTGTCATTACGATCGGCAATGATAGGACAGTGTACTTAAGTACAATCGTAGCCACGGTGGTTGTTTTGTTATTGTCGTGACGACTATCGGTATTCACAACATATTTCACAACAACATCAACAACAACACAATAATAATAATAATAATAATAATAATAATAATAATAATAATACGATGACGACGATGGTGATGATAACGAGTGATACGGAATAGCAAGTCGAGCAAGCATTGCAGTCTGCGTACCGGCAGCGATCCGCATTATTACTGATAAGAACCGTCCGTACCTATAATAGGTACCTACTTGGCGACAATTCGAATGAGTCGCTCTGCCGTTGCTGGTGCTTGCCGCTGTGTTGCCGTCGATTGACAGGAATTTCCGTCATTGTGCGTCGTTTCCGCGTCCCGACTAGCCGGAAGTGGTAGCGTCGTCATGTCACCCACCAGACATCATCCACGACCGTCGACGAGCCGTCACCAGTGATCCGCCCCCTTTGCGATCCGTAAGAAACCATGGCCGGGCCCGTCGTTGCCGCTTCTTCGGTCCTGCTGCTGTTATTGAGCACGGCCCATGCGTCCTCTGTCGATTCGCTGCTGGCCGAACCGTCGTGTGTCGATTACTTGAAATTGAGATGTGCCAACGCGGGCACTGCGGCTGTGTCAAAACTTGACATTCTGGAATGCATACAGCTCTATGAGGTAATTGGTTCACCCCCCATGGAGTTTAAAAATAAATTATAATCATTCGCCATGTATCATTGTATAATATCTAAGGTTTATAAGCATTTGATAAATTAAAAAAAAATACATAAATTTAAACTTCCTTTGTGTAAATAACCATAATAGGCACATCATAGGTCAATGGTTGAGTACTATTTTCATAAACTCTTGATACCTACTTAGATTTGTTTACTATATACAATTTTGTTGTTAAAGTAATTACTTCAATAATTAATCAAATATTATTAATGATTTCAAATGTAACTCCAAGTTAAATGTACTTATCAAGTACCCTTTTTGTACATTTAACTTTATAGGTAGGTAGTCTTAAGTATAGTTTTCTCAATATAATAAATACCTACTGTAAAGTAAGTTACTTTTATAAGTTATTACAAATTTGATGTACCTACCTAATGATTTCTTTATAAAGTAATACAACAAAATTATTGATGATTTTTATAAGAATAACCCACAATGAGATTTGTACCCATGGGAAAAATATTTATCCATTGATAATTAATTTTTATATTATTTTAAAAATCAGTATCCTCTAGCAATCTACCTATAATTAATTATTTAATTATTTAACAAAGATGCTAGAACCTTCTTTGTTTAATTTTGTGCTGTCCAAATCATCAGTTATAAAACAAATGATTGTAGGTATACTGTATAATATTATAATTTAGTAGGTACTTAGTAGTAACAAGTTTATTTTTTTAAGGGACTTCAAATAAGATCTTATGACTTACATTTTTTTTATAAATGGAGTTACTGGTACAAGTTTTGTATACACTATACCTATATTGAATCACTTGTATAATTATGAACTATAACTTCAAATGTTACCTATTGATCCAAGTAACTTGTTAACCGAATAATTTAATTAATCATCTAAAATTCAATTGTGTACTTTTTTTACTAGCTTATTTTGTACCTATTGTTTTAATAAATTGTTATTTGATAAAAACCACTAAACAATTGTAAATTGTGTAAAACATTTCATTCATATTTTATGGGTCAATTTTTGAAATGTTTTTAACAATGTAAAAATATTCCATTTACCTTACTCATTACAATTATTGTAATCATTTAATAACTAATTTAATTGTTTTAGGATTCCGATTTTTCGGGAAACTGTCCAAAAGCCATATGGACTCATTTAAAAAAGTTTATGGCAAAAGAAAATCTTCGAGCTGTACTATGGCCAAAATGTAGATATGAAATTGAAAAACTCAACTGCGAACGAGACAAGAATTGGTTTGGTTGCATAGTTGACAAAAAACAGAGCATTAGAAATAATGACTGTCTTCATTTAATAATGAGAATAGAAAATATAGCATTTTCTGATTTTAGACTAATTACAAATTTTTCAAACTCATGCCAAGATGATATAAAAAAATTTCATTGTTACAACACATCTATCACTGATGTAAGTGGACATTTTTCTAATTAATTTGTAAAGTTTTTTAAATACACTACTCATTTTATTTACAGACATTGTATCGAGGACGTGTATTGGAATGCCTTCAATCTAATATAGACAAGCTTTCTCCAAAGCAATGTTTACCTTTAGTTTATAAACTATCCGAGTGGCAAGCAGATAATATAAAATTTGATTATTCCCTTCATATGGCCTGCTTAAAAGACAAAGAGAAATTATGTGCTGACATCCCAACTGGTAGTGGTCTTGTTTACAACTGTCTTGCTGGACATATTGGTAGCGGACAAATGTCACTTCCGGTAATTTTCTCACTTGAGTTCTATTTATTAGAATATATTATTTATAATGACTTGTTCTTAAAATGTTATATGTAGTGCCAAAATCAACTTTGGAGGAGAGAAAAACTGATTTCTGGTAATATTAGAGTCAGTAAAGGATTAACTAGAGCATGTAGAGAAGACATCCGCACATACCGCTGTCGAAGATTAGTATCTGATGATAAGGATGTACGCTTGGCACAACTTTTGCTGTGTTTAGAAAATGCTATACATAATGGTAAAGTTAAAAATGCTAAAAGTATTAATATTTATACTATATAAACATTTAAATATGTTATTTCATACTGAAGATTGGTATTTATTGTTTGAAAATAAAAACATTAATCATAGGTATAATTCATATTTTTAACGAGTAAATACATAACCTAATATTTTCATGTTTTATTGAAATCAACAATTTTAATAATAAAAATATATTAATTTTAATCAGGCCATGTAAGTTCACGTATTTGCATATAAATCTTGCCAAGTTGTATTAAATGCAAAGTAAGATAGAAATTTGCTTAAAGGTTACAGGATTCAATATGTAATATATAATTGAGTATTATTTCTCATATTTTGGCATAATCATGCTTTTAAAATTGCTTATTGTTATTTACAATATTGTTAGTTATTTTAATGTAAGTAAATACCAATTTTTCAATGTCAATTAAAAACAAAATTTGTTCCTTGTTCTTTGATACGTGTAAGAAAACTTTTGGTATTCGTTTGCAATAATTTAAATTATTAACAATACTAATTATATTTAAAACAACAAACATAAAATACATAATATTAATAATATGAGTTTAATTTTAATTTTTAACAACCTAACCTACTAATGGCACATAATGTGTTATCCTTTATTAAGACATGCTTCCATGACATTATGATTTGCATAAAATGTTAGATAATTTACATTTACATCAATTGGTGTCACATTTCCCCTTACATGAACACCTTTTATATCCTTGATCACCACCATCTGACACATGACAAATTCTTGCGTCTCGCCCATTGTAAGGTAACCGGTGCTCCAAAAATACAAAATATATCCAAAATATTACTTATTAATACTTCTTCGGCCAGTTTTTGATCAAGTCAACCTGACGACTATTCATTTCTAAATGAATAATCGGTTTAACAACAAGGCCTTTTCGTTTAGATGACAGTTTTGTTTGACAAGGTCTACAAAATTTTTAAACCTAAATACAACTTCTTGAGTTAAATTTTTGAATTTTTTTTTAATTTCTGCCATAATTTGATGCTTACTACCATGACCAATATTGAGATGTATTTCATTTAGTATGTCACATAATTCATCATTTTTTATGTAATATAGTAAATTAGTACTAGCTTTTCGATGAGTGCTATAAGTTTCTCTTCTCCTCCGCTATTAATAATTTCAAATTTGTTGAAACGACTAGATTTATTGCGCTTTTCAATTCCATTTATTATATTTAAATATAGACAACAGTTTTTCGAATAAATTATAAAATTCTGTTTTTGTTTCCATTTTATTTGAATTCAATTAAAACACTGTAGGTACTGTACAATTACTGTAAATATCACGTGTGAAAACTGAAAACAGACTAACAACATGTCGACGCTCGACGGCGTGTTTTGTACAACATATACAAATATAACAAAAATGTCGTACAATTAAGACAAATTTTAAGCCCATATATATTGTTCACTTTAGCGTACGATAAAATTACTGCTTGCACCATATATAGCAGATATACCTACGATTAGCGTTAAACTCTTAATTCAAATACTGTACAGATAGACGAATCTACATGTGTAATCGCTAAAAATATAAAATTATTACACCCGGTCCCACTTGGTATAAAGAAATACTTTTAACATTATCCGGATAATGTTAATATTTCATTAATATAAGCAAAAAATTACTCATTAACCAAAATGCATGGCTAATGTCAACACTATCCAACTGTTAACATTATCCTTAACATATATATATATTATTTATAATTATAGTATAAATACTACCACCAGTGCTCTCTATATTTGACCAATATAAGTGTAGAAAAGACCAGTCTGTTAGTATAAGTTCTACAATTTTGACCAAAAGAGTTTCGCGTGGTCTTGAAATATTTTTATTTTAATTATTTTTTATAATACAACATATTTAGTACTAAATTACTATAAAATATATATTATAATATATAAAAATAAAATACATATTTTATCTATAAATAAAAGTGTAGCATACAGTAATTTCCTTGTAACTGTTGTACACTGATTTTCAAATTTAGTTTTATCAATAATCCTTATCTGCCACAATTACAACCAGACATGAGAATTGCCACCACGACACTGACACATTAATAATTACTGCAAAGGCAGCAATGAACAATAAAAAAAACCAAAAAAAGGTTGTTAGTATGTGGTGGGTCACCAAAATTTTAAATTACCCAAAATTGATCGTATTGTGAATAGTTTGAGAACCTCTGCATTAGATAATCTTACATTTATATTTTATAAACAAGTCAATTAACTCTAGATTTTTAAATAACAGAATAAAATGAGTTATTGTGAATGTTAAATTTTGTATTTGGATGTCTGTAAGACAAAGATAACACAGAATATGTGGCGTCCTCATAAGAATCCGTTACAGTTACATTTGTTTTCTCTGTCTTACAAGTGCGTAACATAGCAAATTGTACGCTCAGTAAAACATGTTTATCTCCCGCTAGTTTAAAAATTAGAGCAAATTGACCTCTTATAAAATTTAAAGGTAAGATTATTATTTAGACAATGACATAGGCTTTTTATTATATTTTTATTTTAAAGCGAGTTATGAGTATTTTAAGATGTACAAACAGTTTACAATTTTAAAATACACATAACTCGCTTTAAAATAAAAATATAATAAAAAGCCTATGTCTTTGTCTAAATAATAATCTTACCTTTAAATTTTATAAGAGGTCAATTCGCTCTAATTTTTAAACTAGCGGGAGATAAACATGTTTTGCTGAGCGTAAAATTTGCTATGTTACGCACTTGTAAGACGGAGACAACAAATATCACTGTAACGTCCCCTTAAGCTAAATAATATGTCTCTTGTGGACAATATAATATTAAAATGTATTGTAATATTGTTATCATTTTTGTAGTAAAAACTGATTAAATATTTTATTATATTAACTTATGTATGTAATGTATTATTACAACTTTTATCTCAGGCACAGCCTAATGGGTATGGAGATAATTAAGGAATAGAAATAAGTCATGTACAACATTATTTTTATTGTAATTTTATGAAAAAAAATCAACATTATTATTATTTAATAGTAATAATTAATTTTCAGGCAGTAAAGTATCCTCTGATTGTCAATTTGAATTAATGGAACATCGAAAACTGTTACTCCAAAATCACCATTTATCACCAGAGGTTGTTTCAACGTGTTCTAATGATATTGAAAAATATTGTAGAAATAATGAAGTTAGCAGAAGAACAATTCATTGTTTAATGGATCATTCTAAGCCATCACGTCAAAAAAACCGTATAGATAAAGCTTGTCAAAAATCAGTAGGTGTTATTTTTTATACATTTTATGAGGTATTATCTTTTTTATTTCACGTATAGTTACAAAAACTTATGCGCATCACAAATATTGGTGAAGACTGGAGAGTAGATCCTGTACTCCAAGAAATGTGTCAGTCTGAAGTTGATAAATATTGCTCTGATATACCTCCTGGTTACAACAGGTTATTTAATTTAATTTAATTAACATTAAATTAATCAATTTCCAATGTATTAATTTGTTATATTTTCTAAAACTAGGGTGATATCCTGTTTGTTGGAAAAGTTATTTGTGGGATCAGTTCAAGATAAGTGCAAGAACGCATTACTGCCAGTTCAATATTTTATTAATCGCGATTTCACATTAGACCCTGCATTATATCAAGCATGTTATTCGGATGCATCTAGGATATGCAAAGCCACTGGAGATTGGATTAAAGAATCTAAAGAAAATTTGATTTTGCCATGTCTTACTCAGTACTATCGACCCTTTACATCATCTTCAACTGGAGCAAAATATAAAGTATAAATAATAATATATATGGTAGTTTCTAATCATTAATAAAAGTAAAATATTTTGATACATAAATATTTATTTTTTAACAGTTAAAGCCAAAATGTAAAGATCAAGTACGAAAAGTTATGATACAAAGAGCTATTAGTGTAGATCTAAACCCGGAAATTGCTGAAGCATGTATTAAGGATCTTCCAAACTTTTGTCACAAGAAAACTGGTGTCGGAGAGGAAATGCTCTGTCTACAAGACCACTTTAATAAGTAAATACATAATAACAGTTTATAAAGAGGTACTTTTAAAATAAGTTTATTTTAATTAAAACATTATTTCAGCAAAAAGATGACCAAAGAATGTAAGGAATCTATTAGGCTATGGACCGAAGCACAAGCTGAAGATATTCAGCTAAACCCTGTTATTAGATTGCATTGTAAACCATTCATTCAACAATTTTGTTCGGTAAATTTATCAAACATAAATATTTGTTATTAGTTATAACTATTATTCATTTTTCTTTGTCATAGGCTGAACTTTTATCTAAAGATGAAATTGGTAAAAATGATGTAATGGACTGTTTAATTAAAAATAAAAACGACCCAGAGATGAAAACAGAATTAAAATGCCGTGCTGCTGTGGAACATTTTCAATTGATATCTATGAATGATTACCGTTTTACTTTATCATTCAAAGAAGCTTGTCGATCAACTGTTATTAGGTATTGTCCTAAGTCTCGCACCAAACCAGAGGTATGTAGACTTATGTAGCTCGGAATAATAAAATATATGCTACAATAATGGCTGAATTTGTACATAATTTTTTTTTTGATTATAGGTTGTAGCATGTTTAAGTGAAGTAGTACGCAATGATACTATAACAGACTCTAAACATAAAGTTACAAAACCATGCCGACAACAATTACGTGCTCAGTTATTACAGCAACGTGAATTCTTAGATTTAGACCCAGTTTTGAAAAATGCATGTCAAAATGATATTGCGAAACATTGTTCTAATATGGAATCTGGTTCAGCACAGGTAAAATTACTGTAAAAACTCTTTAAAACTTTTTAACATTATTTTAGTTATCGTTCTTATACCCTTTATTCAATATTTTAGGTTTTAGTCTGTCTTGAAATGAACAAAAGCTTATTGTCAGATCAATGTCATAGAGTAATATTTTTAATACAGCGACAAGATTTGACGGACAGTTCATCAGATTATGTTTTGTTAACAAAATGTCATAAAATGTTGCAACTATATTGTAAAGAAGAAAATTCCTCTCGAGCTTTAAGCTGTCTAAAGGTATTATTTGTGGATAAATGCATTAAATATCTTAAACAAATAAAATAGTATGTTGATTATTTAATTATTTTATATGTTTGACAATTAATTGAAAAAATTATAAATAATTAAACTCGGTTATAGAAATTCAAACATGATTTAACGTTTGAAAAACAATGTCAGTCCATTGTAATTCAACGTATGATTGAACAAAGTGATGACTATCGACTGGATCCAGCACTACATCATAGTTGTCAAGCAGACATCAATTTATATTGTAGTCAAATATTGGCTAAATTACGTCCAGAGTCCGAGTATAATGGAAAAGTGTTACAATGTTTAAAAGTTTGTGCTTATTAAATTAATGTATATAGTTTTTGATTTTAAATTTATAATTATATTTTTAGGAAAAGTTTCGGCAAAGAAAGCTTAAGCCAGAATGTGAAAAACAAGTATCTATTACTTTACGTGAATCAGCACTAAATTACAAACTAAATCCATTGTTACGAAGTCTTTGTACAACCGAGGTATTTTTAGACTTATCTATTTCATGTATAAAAAAAAAAAAATTGATTGATTGTTTTGTTTGTATAAATAGATTAAAGAGCTCTGCCGAAAAGAAGAGCACAACGAAGGCAATGGTGATATAGAAGATTCTGGACAAGTGGAAGAATGTTTAAAACAAGCAATGAGTCATGGGTTAATAGAAAGTCGAGCTTGTCGTTTAGAAGTAGCTGGATTGATTGAAGAATCCAAGGCTGATATAAATGTAGATCCATTGTTGCAACGAGCGTGTTTTTTAGATATTACCAAGTACTGTGAAGAAGTACCTCAGGGAGCTGGAAGACGTAAGTTTCTTATTCTATTCATACTAATCTAATTTACTCGAAGTGATAATTTGAATGTAAGATACTAATTTTATCAATTTTAGTTTTTAAGTAGTCTTACATTTCTAAATAGCAAAAATTTCTAAAGTGTTTAAGTATAAACTTAGAATAAAGTACCTTTATTTTTCATTTCTTAAAATGTTTTTACATTTTTGATATATTATACAACCAATTGCACATTATTTCAATATAATTTAAAATTAAACTACAGTGATTCAGAATAGTTAAAATTCTTAAAGTATTCATATTACTCTTCTTATTTCTTATCTTATCTTAAATTTTAATATCTATGAAGAATTAAGTTGACCAATAAGTAATAATCAACATTTGAAAACAAGTTTCTAAAAATAATTTTTTTTAATATGATCTTCGATAAGTAAAATATAATTAATGATTTTTATTTTTTTACAGATTTACAATGTCTACAAACTGTTGTTCAATCCAAAACTAAAACGCTCAGTGCCAAGTGTCATGACATGCTATTGCAGAGGATGGAAATGTTTAAAAACGCTAAGGCATTGGTTAGAAAATATACCTTGTTCATAAAAAATATAACTTTTCCGTTTAATTTCCTTGCAGTAATCCACTAATTCAAACATATATTATAGTATACCTACTTTATTTTTATGTAGTGAAGTCAATTTTTGATTTTCATTACTAGAATACTTTTGAACCTCATGATTCCCTGTGATTTTGTTTTTAAATACAATTGTAAAATTTTAATTCAATTTTGTAGATTTATCCAGAGAGTTTACAACAGTTGTACGGACAAGTCGCCAAATCACCTTCCAAGAAATACCTAATAGTAGTTTTGTTCACTTTCACGGGACTAATATTTATAGTTGGTTTGTTTTGTGGTCGTGTTAGTCGAAGAAGTGCAATTTCTAAAAAAAAATAGATGATATTATTTTGTTATCGGCTAATACTGATAAGTAGCTTAATTAAATACTAATGAAATGATTTTGTGAATCTCTCTTTATAATATATATATATACATTTTAAGTGTATGTGTCCATTATACAATATGCTATTTACTGTTAGATGCATTAATGTTAACTATTATGATAGTGGTGATTTTAGTATTTTAATACAATGAACAAAATTATGATACAATTTGTGTTAATTGTTAATTTTTGTAATTTTTTTTAAACATAATGTGCGTGCTTCAGTTATTATCAATACGGTATATAATGTATGTTTAAAAATCCAAAATTAAACAAATGAAATACTGATAAAAATATCATCTAATATCTATTATTTTTTGAGATTCAGCATTATCAGATATTTTTATTAGAATAAATAAAGTAAAGAAAATATTACAAGCTCAACATTTATATTATAAGTTTTAATTTTATAGTTTATTTCTATTTATTTACTTTCTGTATTTTTTCTATGTTATTTTTAGTATTAGAATCAAATTTAAATTATCCTTGTAAGCCTTAAGAGGATGTCAGCTCACTATTTGTTTTCTCTCTAGCCCACCCGCAACATAGACAAAACGTATTTACGCAAAATCATTTTTTCTATGTTTTTAAGTAATCTTAGAGTAAAATCACATATTACAAAAAAGATAAAAAATAATATTTTTGAGGGAATGTCATATCGATTTGTCTAAATATTGTCTCAAAATTTAATGTACAACATTTCTTTGTTTATTTTGAAAGTCGAATACAAAGTCAAATAACAATAAAATATAGAATCGATATGATTACTTAAAAACAGATAAAAAGTTAATGCGTTTTGTCTATGCTGCTGGTGGGCCAGACAGAGAAAATAAATAATGCGCTAACATCCTCTTAAAGGACATCACAACAATTTTTTTTTCTTTAATTTGAAGTTTATTGGTTTATTATTATAGTCAAAATAATGAAAAATGTTTTGGTAAAAAACGTAAGTTAAAAAAATGATAATTCAACAAGATAAAGATAGTTGATGAATAATTCTTACGTCTTAGAGCTGAAGATTGAGCAGCTGCCCTTGTTTTACATGTAAAAGTAGTTTGATTTATACAATGATTTTAATAATTTACAATAGTATTTCAAAATATTTTTTCCCATAATCCTAATTATATTTATGTGTTATTAAGACGATGGTGTTATTTAAAATTTAATATATCTTGTTATTGTATAAATATTATAAATTATAATTAAGTAAAATTATTGAATTTGCAAATTGCATCGTATTGCAGTATAAATTAAATTTTACTGTAATAGTTTTATTTACTATAAAAAAACTAGAAAGCATATCAATTTTATAATTACACCTGTGTCAAAAACACTTAATAAAATTAAAAAATATTATCTTAAATGATTGAAATTGTTGCATTAATCTAGACCAGTGGTTTTCAAACTGGGCGCCGCGGTACTGGTGTGCCTCGAGAATTCACTGAGTGTGCCGCGGTCTTTCGGAAAGTTCAACTATTCGTCCAAGAATAAAATTATAAAAATAAAATTAATAAAAATTTTTTAGCCCGTCATTCGTCCAGCACTCATTTCTAATTAAATGGACTTATATAATTATAATTCAAAATAATTTTGTTCATCTAATTATTTAGTGCAAAAAAAAAGATCTGTGTGCATTGAAAATTTTTTGTGGAGCACGGTGTGCCGCGTTCAATAAAAGTTTGAAAACTACTGATCTTGACTCTTTTACAGATAAAACATATGCCGCCATTCAGACTTTGGCTCTATGATGTCAAACGCTTATTTTCAAACACTTGTATCTCATTGAATAATTAGTGTTAAAGTATATGATCCCCACCATATTTCTTAGATAATAACATACTTTAAATCTAAGCAAACTTGTTTTTAGTGTTGTGATGTCATTTAACATAACCAAACATTAATTTTAATTGTATTCATAGTAGAATTTGTCCTTTTTATTGGGACCAAAAATATTATATAAAAAGCTGGGTTACCAAGATCGGTGTACTTGCCAAATATTTGTCACTTGTATAAACAGTAAATTTGTATAATTATTGATCACTGCTAAGTCTCCCGAGGATAGTCAGTAAATGTCAAAGGAGCTGAATTTACCAATGAATATACTTGAAAAATTTATCAGTTAGAACTCTTTATACGTAAATTACTAGCCCATTTGATTATTTGAGTGGCAAGTTTACCTATCATGGAAACTCGGCTTAATACTAATGAGGTTTTTACACAATAAACAATAAGAAAATGGTTGAAAAAAAAATTAAAGGTACGCTGTTTCTAATCTTGACAAAAACTACAGTGAATATGCTTCCTTGAATATTTTTAATTATTTTTAATGTACATAATATTATAGAATATAAACCTATTTATACAATATATATTAATAGATATTTGTCCTATTTAAGTGTTTAGTTTAAGCTATATATAAGTATGATAAAGAGCACTTGAGTACTCGGTACATTCAATACAAAAATATACACCCCTTTTAAATAATATTCAAATTATTCTGAACATTTGTTTAACTATCTAGAAATAACTCAAATTACATTTTTATTAAACTTATAATTTATAAAAATTAATTTAACAAATTATAACTTTCTGATTTTTTATGTTGATTTTTAGAAAAATATAATGAATAACCATCTTTTTACCATGTATTACCAAAAAATAATATGAAGGAAATTATTCTTAATTTAAAAAAAATATATTACCAATACTTGAATATAACCCATTTACTCAATACTCATAATATGTATTTTATTAGTTTTTGTGATTAGTGCAATTAATTATGATTCAGCTATCATTTGTGTAACATAGTTTTCCCAAAAATGTATGTGCTATTAATTTTTAATATTATACTTAAATAAAAATTATAATATAAATGAAATGAAATGTAAGTGAATATTTATGTCTACTTTTTATTTATTAGTTATTATTAGTTATTATTATTTAGTTTTATTTTTTCTATTTATATTTATGTATTTTTGTCTTATACTTACTTTTGTTCATAATCCTTCAAACATTTATTTAACCATTAATTCAGTTAGGTGATCTATTATACAATTAAATATGAGTAATAACCAATAACCTGCAGTAGTTGATATGTAATCCGTTTATTGCATTTACTATTTTCTTTAAAATAGAGTTTTCATCCACAATAATAGGAATTCCAATATTTATAATAAGTTGTTGAATAAATGTATTTAATATCTCTGAAACAAAATAATATAGATGTAGACAATTATAGAATTATATGCATATATGCATATTAATATTTTTACTTCAATTATAAATAATCATTTATAATTTTCCTATTTAATAGATTTTGACAGAAACAAACTTTTTGTTTGATTAATACATCTTTTTGATTGAACTAATTACACAATATACATATCTGCTGTTAGTTCTTCACTAGATGAAATTGAACTTAATTACATTTTTATTCTGAAAATTACAACATGATACTTCTGGAATACTCCTCTTAGTAAATCATTTTTTCATAGCATTATAGTTTTTTATTATGCTAGTATAATATTTTTGAAGAATAAAAATAGTTTTCTGTTAAAATGCATTTTATGTAATTTTTTTCGTCGAAGATTGTAAACTCTCATTTTTAATGACTCATAAACCCTCAATACTATTACTATCTGTACTTCTGTTCTGTATAATATATTAATATAATAATTATAAACTCTCACAGTCTCACCTAAAGGACAGATTATGTAACCCCTCCTAACTCAGTAATAACTTTGTAGGTATATTATATTAAAAAGTCAAGTATGTAAATTATATTCTACATCTATAGTTAATAGTAAAAATAAAATATTTCCTTCGGATAATCATAATATGAATCTGGAGAGTTTACCACTTTGCCATTTACAACATCTTATTTCTGATAAATGATACTTGTTTATATAGTATTAGCTCTTAGAAATAACTAAGGTGTATTTTTTAGGAAGGTTTCTTTAATCAAAGAAATAATTTATTAAAATGAGTATGTACATACATATTTTGTCTTATGAAGGTATATAAAGCCTACACTTAATTCAACTAAAGTTATAGGTATTAAGGGGATTGGAAGCGGCGATTTTCTGTCTTTGTCTAACACACGTGCAACATAGGATTATAGACGTGTTCTATTTCCAACTTACCGATTAATCTAGTGATGCGATAAGAATTCTGAAACAGATTTGAATTTGTCGTCAAGTCTACTTGAGATCGACTTTCTCACATTTTTGATATTTTGATTAAAACTTCTCCAAAAATTGAAATATGGCAATTTTTTAATTACTCTTTTTAATATATCATTTTTATGATTTTTGGGGGATAATATCAAAAATGTGGGGAAGTCGATCTCAAGTAGACTTGACGGCAAATTCAAATCTGTTTACAGAGTTCTTATCGCGTCACTAGATTAATCAGTACGTTGGAAATAGAACACGTCTATAATCCTATGTTGCACGTGTGTTAGACAAAGATAGATAATCGCCGCTTCCAATCCCCTTAATATATTATATTCGTTCGTTATTCTTCTCTTTCTTCTTGTGGGTTTCGGCGTTCAACAAATTTGCACCATCTCTCCCTATCCTCTGCAACTTATCTCCATTGTATATTTGGTTCTACTGTCTCAAATTTTTTTTTGATATTATGATCTTCCCATCGTAATCGAGTTCTATCTAACGGTATTTTGCCAAACGGGTTTTCTTTAGGCATGAGCTCTCTTTCCTCCAAGCATGCCCGGTCCATATCTTTTTCTCGTAAATACCGCAATAATTATCTGGTTTTCGAAACAAGTTCTTAATTTCCTCATCGTGGCATGATGATGATCCATAAATTCGTTTTGAAATTGTTCTTTCAAATACTGCAAGTCTTGTTTCTTTGACTTTTCTCTGAGTCCATGTCTCAGAGCGATATAAGACTACAGAGTACAATATTGTATTTTAAATTTTTTTGATAAAACTTT